GTCTTTGACATATTGTTGTTATCTTTACTTCTGATTTACATCTGCTATACCCTGAAATATAATGCAAAGGGGGTTGTTTTTTCTTCAATCCAAAACATGTTATTTTTTAAACTAAATTACATGAACTTTTGGCATGTGTTTATGAACACACACTTTCATGTGAGATCTAGTCAGTAAAATTACAAAGTGTAATCACTTTGCAACTGTAGGAAAATATTTTTATCCAGCTCGGGGTTCAGGCGCTCTTTACGTATGCGCTATATATGTTAATACCGGTGCGGTAATTATCCAATATCAAAACGGACCTAAACAGGCCCGGCATGGCCAGGTGGTTAGGGCACTCGACTCGCAATCTGAGAGTCGCGGGTTCGAATCCCCGTCACACCAAACATGCTCGCCCTTTCAGTCGTTGGGGCGTTTTAATGTGACGGTCAATCCCACTATTCGCTGGTAAAAGAGTAGCCCAAGAGTTGGCGGTGGGTGGTGATAACTAGCTGCCTTCCCTCTAGTCTTACACTGCTAAATTAGGGACGGCTAGCGCAGATAGCCCTCGTGAAGCTTTGCGCGAAATCCAAAACAAACATCATCCTAAACGACTCGACCGATCCAGACCAAACTTGACATGATAACTTAGTAGTATAAATGCAAACCAAATTCATATTAAACTTTCCAAACTGTAAGGTACATTTATCAACACACATTTATATTAAATTCCGTATAAAATTAATGTCATTGTACAAAATTATATAGCCTGGTTTCTAAACCATGTGTTATTCTGTGCTTGCTTTCAGAACAAGTAGTGGTTACTGCAAAGATAATTCAAAGCAACTAGTGATTTGAAGTTTAAATAATTCTGGATTTGATGACAATAGAAGACCGGAGGAGATTATTATGAGAATGTAACACCTTCCAACTTGACTATGTTTATATATTTTAGGGCAATTATATACGAGAAGCCACTAGGCTGGTTGGTTTGCAACATGCAGTCTTGCTGAAACGTAGCTTACGTCATCTTGGTTTGTATGACATCAAGCGTCAGTGTTTAACGTAGGCGGCAGAGCGAATTTGATGTGTGTGTGAGAGAGAGGGGGTGGGGGATGTATAGACCTAGTTAGCACATTTACATATAAATTCTGACAATCTATGTATATCTAGTACTGGTTTTGGAATTAAAGGGGTGGTTCATATTGACAATTTTTTTAAGGGGAATCCCTCTATCCTTTCTTCTTCAATGAATATAAACAGTTAAAACCACTAAATTAGAAATAGGATCTCTAATGGAATTTATAAGACTACTTTAAATTTGGTAGTACTGGAGGTTAGAAGGTGACAGTATTTATGTACTCGATTTTATATATGTATGCTTACAGAGTACTGGCATAAGATTTCCCGGAAAGTCAACGCTAAAGTCTACACTAGGAACTGGTGGATATATTGGAACACAAACAAATTTCTTAATTCTTGATAACTTACAAAAAAAATCTACGTTTGTATATTGTTTTAAGTAGTAACTTGTCCAAAAAAGTAAAAAATCGGAAACATTGTGTATAGGACTAAACGAAAAATCAACTACATGATGTCGCTTTTATGGTTATTTATATAAATATAATAAAACATAGACATGAAGCATTTATATAGCTATGTCAGCAGTGGTGGGATTCAGCCGGTTCGCACCGATTCGTGCGAACCTGTTCTTAGAATTTAATGACCTCCAC